CTGTGTTCTGGGGGACAAGATAATGTGGCTCTCTCCTCTCAGAATGACACCCCTGCTTTCCTGCAGGCACCGGTAAGGGTCCCCAACCTGCTTCGCTGGCAGGGTACTTCCTGTCTTATGCATGGAACTTCCTGTCTTATGCATGAGCCAGGTGGGGTCCCTCAGCATCCAGGATGGCCACACAGGGGGCATTGCTCTGCCCTAAGAGCAGGTGTTCACTGGCAGTGGATGAGAGCCATCGGCCTCTTGACCACTCTGGTCAGAAAGAGCTTCTGTGACATGGAGCGGGGTGGGGGGAGGGGAGAGGCGCCATCCACTTCCCCTCCTGGAGTGAGTGCATCACCCAGGACTGCGGGTGGAGGCAGGGAGGGAGCCCATTGTCTGGATCATGTCTGGCTGTCTTGGAGCCTCTTGGATGGAGAACAGGTAGGGCATCACTCACTGCCTCTACTGTCCTTACCAAGATCCAGAAGAATTTTCTCAAAGAATGCTTTTTTAAGTGTTATATGCCCTTGAGAGAACATTGAGACTTTTAAAAAAAGATTTTTTTATTTTTATTTGAAAGGCAGAGTTACAGAGAGAGAGAAGGAGGGAGAGACAGAGAGAGGTCTTCCACCCTCTGGTTCACTCCCCAATATGTCTGCAATGGTCAGGGCTGGGCCAGACCAAACCCAGGAGCCAGGAGCTGCTTCATCCGGGTCTCCCACATGAGTGACAGGGGCTCAAGCACTTGGACCATCTTCTGCTGCTTTCCCAGGTGCGTCAACAGGAAGTTGGACTGGAAATGGAGCAGTGGGGAATCGAACCGGTGCCCATAAGGGATGCAGGCATTGCAGGTGGCAGCTTTACCCATTATGCCACAGCACCGGCCCCCAGAGACTTTCAATGGCCATTTCTTTTAACAATTTCCAGCAGTTATGGCTGTTTTTGCTCAGGAGAGGGTCTCCTGCACCAAGCTGGCATGATGTGTGGCTCTGGCCATGGAACTCCTATATTCTCCCTAACACCCAGACTTCTCATTTACCCCGTGCTGTCCAGGAGGCAGACACTGAATGCCCACTGAACACAGGATGAAAGTGAAGCCTCAGAAGTTGAGCTTCATAGTGGAAGAAAGAAATCTTGAAGAACAGTAACCGTGAATGGCTGGGAGATACACTACCGAGTCCCACATAGCCATGAAAAGGAACTGGCCCCCATCTGGAGGGTACCACTGTGGCTACTTGGAGGGGGTGGAGCTAGGAAGGGCTCTTTCACTATGTGTTGCTTCTGATGCAAAGGTGAGTATCCGTGAAGATCAGCGAACTCCACACTCTAGATCTGTGCACTTGTCCATGTGTAGTACAGTTCGGGTTTCAAAAAGCTTTGAAAAAAAATGTCTCGGGGGCCTGCATTATGGCATAGAAACTTCGGATTCTGCCTGTGATGTCAGCATCCTATATGGGCACTGGATCATATCCCAACTGCTCCACTTCTGATCCAGCTCTCTGCTTATGGCCTGGGAAAGCAGTAGAAGATGATCCAAGAGCTTGGGACCCTGAACCCACATGGGAGACCTGGAAGAAGCTCCTGGCTCCTGGCTTCAGATTGGTCCAGCTCTAACTGCTGAGGCCATTGGGGGGAGTAAGCCAGTGGTTGGAAGATCTCTCTCTCTGCCTCTGTGTGTGTGTGTGTATATCCCCATCTGTAACTCTGCTCTCAAATAACTCTTTTAAACAATAAATTTAAAAAGGTCTCCATATGTATTGATAAAGAGCTCTCCAATGAACCGTGCGTTGGAACAATGTCTACGGGAAGCCATCTCTGATGGGGATCACGGTCCTAACACAGGAAAGACACACAGACCTGACCTGCCCTGCCCTGCCCTGCCCCTGCCCCTGCCTATGCTGCAGCCTCCTCCAAAGGCAGCAGGAGAGAGACAGGGGGCTGGGGGCCTGGAGGGGAGGGGAGCACATGTGGGGAAAGGGGCCAGTTCTTTTTCTTCTTCATTTTTCAAAGCTGCAGTTCTGATGCATGTCACAATAGAAAGTCAAGGCTCAGAAGCTAATCTAAGCTGAAATTCGTCATCCATTTACTTCCTCATCTAGCTCACCTCCTGTCAATCTTTAGCTCCGTTGATTCGGCTGCCACATAAGGAGATGCTCCTTAGGCTGGGTGAGTTAAGAACATGATTCATCAATGAGCATCTCTCATTTTTCTTTCGTTGGAAGCCGGGTTCTCCTGATGTGGATGCTGCTCCCTGTTTTGTCATTTGGGGTTCAAAGCCACCTCTGTTGCAGCCACCCTTAAAGGTAGATTTTGCTAGACTTTGAAAAACCAACTTCATTTAAGGCTCTGTATGCCCTGAGGCCTGCAAAATGACAGCCTACCAACCCCACAACAGCACTAGTGTGTCCAGCTGCTACCGCCATCCTGGCCAGGTCTTGGGCTCAGCTCCCTGCCAGCAGCGGCAGCACTGCTCAGCATAGCCCAGAGACCACAGCTGCCAACCACACACCTGTCCTGGAAACAGATGCAGGCTCTGCAGCAGGCACACGCTTCAATTCATCTGCTGAAGCTAGAGGGAATACAAGCATGGAGAAAGGGAAAACACCTCCATGGGTGCTGCAACACCCAGGTAATGCCTGCTGTGTGTTTAAATCGCTTGATGCTAATGGTTTCCATTGACAAGACCTAGGTAAGTGTGTGATCTATGAGGGACAAGTGGGGACTCTGCCCTGGGACCCAGGAGGAACGGAGTCTACCCTGGGAACCAACACACAAGTATTTTTCCCCCATGGCAAAGCGTATCTGGGTCCCAGGTCACATGATATTATAAAAAGATTTTTTTAATTTATTTGAAAGGTAGTGACAGAGAGAGAGAGAGAGAGAGAGAGGGTGGGAGAGGTCTTCCACCTGCCGGCTTACTCCACAAATGGGAACAATGGCTGGAGCTAGGCCAAGCTGGATCCAGGAGCCAGGAACTCCATTCAGGTCTCCCATGGGGGTGATGGGGGCCCAAGTGGCTTCCATTGCTTTCCCAGACACATTAGCAGGAAGCTGCATTGCAGTTGGAGCAGCCAGGACTCAAACCAGCACTCCTACATAGGATTCTGGCACCACTGGTGATGTCTGTCTTGATAACAAATTTTTAACCTCAGCCAAATATTCATTAATTTGTTCAAGCTGCTTGTAGACACACACACACACACACGAGTTTGTGGGAAACGGAATTAATGGAAAAAAAATTAGAATTCCATGAATATAGCTTTTTCATGCTATGCACTTTATACGAACATTTTGAAGATGCCTAGTGTACCCATGTATACAGACACAGCCCCATGGCTAGGAAGCCGCTGGACATCTGTCAATCCTGGCCCGCCTCCTTCTTGTGGTGCTACACTGCCACCTAGTGTCCATGCACCAAAGGACGCCAAACCCCTGCTCAGACCTGAACTCACAAATAAGTAAGGTTACTGTGCTTGAATCCAGTCTATACAGGTACACACCAGCCTGTGTACGCACAAAATACTTCTGCAGAACACAAGTGAACTATAACTGGAAATATCAGTGTATGTTAGTTTGTATCTTTTCCATTTTGAGCCATATCTGAAAAACACATGAGGCTGAAAAATCTATTAAATGTTCTGGCATATTGACAAAGGAGCCATCTTGTCTTCACTGACTAGTGTACTTAACAGATTCTCGTACTCAGGAGTACCGAGGAGCAGAGAGAAAAGACAGACACATTATTGCTACACCCTCTAGGTAGCATCCAAACTCCCACAGCACACACGGGAGGCAGCAAAGCCCGTGATGGCCACGTGTGCAGCCCCAGCCTTGGCCAGGGAGGTGAGCCAGGTTCGTGTGCACGTAGCTGTATCCTAAGTGACCCTGTACAAGTGTGGCCTCTGGACATCTCATTCATCAGACAGCTCCTCCAGTACCCTGGGAACCTTACAAAAGGCAGCCACAAACAGTTACAAGCTGGTATCACAGAGATTCTGTACCCTGACCACAGCGAAACCAAGTGAGAACTCACTAATTAAAAGGTTAACTTTAAACGTAACTCACAAATCAAACACCACATTTCTAAGTAGCACGTGGGAAAGACAGACCTCACAATAATGGGATTAGAAACTGTTTTAGGCTGACAATACCAAAAGAGCAAAACTGTGCTGCATAAAATGGCACTTAGACGGGAATGGTAGGAAAGAAGGTAGGCAGGCAGGTGTGTGGCACAGTGGTTAAGGCAGCACTGTTTGCACACATCCCACATCAGAGTGCTTGATGCAGTCCCCGCTCTGTTCCCACTCCAGCTTCCTGCTAACGCGCACCCTGGGAGGCAGCAGGGGATGGCCTACATTCTTGAGTGGCTGCCACCCACCTGGGAGACCTGGCATGAGTTCCTGGCTTCCGCCTGGTCCAGCCTTGGCTATTGCAAGCATTTGTGGAGTGAACCAGTAGCACATGGGGACTGGCACAGTGGCGGCGCTGTGACATACTAGGTTAAGCATCTGCCTGCAGCACTGGCATCCCATGTGGATGCCAGTTTGAGTCCTGGCTGCTCCTCTTCCTATCCAGCTCCCTGCTGATGGCCTGGGAAAGCAGTGGAGGACGGCCCAGGTGCTTGGACACCTGCCACCCACTTGGGAGACCCAGATGAAACTCCTGGCTCCTGCCTGGCCCAGCAGATGCAAGATCTCTTTCCTTCTAACTCTGCCTTTCAAATAAATAAAATAAATCTTGAAAAAAAAAAAAAAAGGTGGGGGAAACTTGTTCACACATCATGTAAAGAAATTCCACAAGGCTGTGAAGGTTAAGGCTGTGGTCATCCAAGCTAGGCATGACCAGGGCTGGGCCCCTGGGGAATCTCTGATACAGAACTCCTAGCGTTTAGACGCCCATGCAGCCCAGAAGGCGACAAATACCAACGCCTCCAGCGCCAAGGGCCGCCCGCTAAGCGCGCCTGCGCAGTCGGGCCCGCTACGCCCGCCACTGCGCCTGCGCCGCCGGACCCGCGAAGCCCCGCCTCTCTGGTGACGCGACCGCGCGCGTGGGCGGGACCGAGCTCCCGGGCTCTGCGGGTCTCTGAGGCCGCGGTGACGCCGGCGGGGACCGGAGAACCGGCGTCGCGTCTGTGGGCCGCCTGCTGCCGGGGCGCCGCGGACTTGCGTGGGTGGAGCACACGGTAAGCTCCCGCGGGTGGGCCTCTCTCGGGCCTGCAGTCGGGACCGCCACGGACGCGCCGGAGATGCGCGGGGCGCGAGGCCCGCGCGGCCGGGCAGGTCCCCGGCGCCGAGCGACAGCTCCCGGGGCTTGCACCCCGCCGCCCACGCCTGCTGCCTTCCAGTCCCGGCTCCGCTGGTCCTGGCTGGGCGCCGGGGCTCGGCGTGGCGCCCGCCCTTGCGGAGTTCATTCATTCTGCCTGCGGCCGGGGGGCTGGGCCTGCAGGCCCCTCCCCTCCCGGCCGGGGAACCAGGCTGGATGGGCAGCACTGGAGCTACGGGCATGGTTAGCCCCAGCGGGGAGGCCTTGAGACCGGCATTGCCGGCCTGGACTGAGCTTGCGGGGGCCAGGGTCCGGGTTTTGTCGTAAATGCAGCTGTGCAGGTTGTGGGGTGGGGGGGCACAGCTGGAGTTGCAGGGTGGGCAGGTGGGTACGGCCCGCTCACCCTGGGTAACAGTCACCAGGGTGATTGGTCACTAAGACGCTCCCTTCGGGCACCGTTTTCCAGGGTGGTCACGCATCCCACGTGGTCCACGGGGGAGCAGGTGGGGAATGTGATGGCCAGGGCCTCCCTGCCACCCACTCTGCAGAGCTGCTGAGCAGGCCAGAAAGGGTGTGGTGGTGTCCTTCTGGAAACACACAGCAGACGTGGCCGCTCTTGCGGCCCCTGGGAAGGGCCAGTCGGCCCGGGCCACGTGTCTGTCCCAGGTGGTGCTGGGGAAGAAGCCAAGCCGAGGCCTGGAGGTGCCCTCTCCTGCCACCCTGCTGTGATAGGCACACAGCAGGTGGCTGGCAGGGCTGAGTCATGAGTGGACTGGGTCAGGAAGCCGGGGGATGTCCATTTTAACTTTCCAGGAGCGTGCCTGGTGGATTATTGAGGAGCTCTAACCCTGGAGGTGTGGCCCAGGTCTGTGGTCCTCCTGACCCTGGCATGCAACTGAACACTTGGAAGAAACTGGCTGGCAGACCAGGCAGGCTCCAGTGCACGCCGCATCGGGCTTGTGTTCCTGAGGGCCTGCCTGGGGACAGGGGACAGCTTCACTGCTGCCTTGGGCTCACAGAGCCCAAGGCTCTGTTTACCTCCAACACCCTCTTTCCTGGCCTGGCTGCACTTCCTTTCAGCCCTGCCTTCGCTGTCCTTGAGCAGACCAAAGATCTGGCGCCCTCTACAGGTGTCTTAGCCATGGACAGACACCTTAACCTGGAGGGGACGGGATGGCTGTGTAGGTTTGGGGCTCCAGGACCTGGGGTGGCCTGTGGGCCAGATTGTTCCTGGTTCTGTGTGGACTCTGATGGATAACCTCTGTCATCAAGCTAAAGCTCACGTGAGTGTTTTTGTGGTCTGAAGTCGAGTCTTGTGTTCACAGGGAAAGTGAAGTGATCAAGCGCCTTCAACTTGGAGACCAAAGCCGGGGACTGCTGTCTGCGCCACCACTGCCAGCGGTGCAGCCTCAGGCAAGTAGCGTTACCAGCACGCCCAGTCCTTGGTGCTGTCGGTGGAAAGCGAGGGAGGCGGTGCAGGCCCTGTGGGTCTCTGGACACAGGTGATGCCATTTTGGGGGTATTTAATGGGGAGGCACATTTGATAACGAGCCACTTTGACCATACATTTGATACTGACTTGTTCATCCGGTCTTCTTAGTCTGACACAGGACATGATTGGAAACTTGATGATGTGATGAGGGTTTCAATAGTTGCATGATTAGTATTGCTTTTGCATCCTCACTGTACATCCAGGGAAATAACTGCTTTAGTTCTTTCTCTATGTTGTAATATTTTTAAAGATTTATTTATTTATCTGAGAGGCAGAGTTACAGAAGGAGAGACAGAGAGACAGGTTCTCCATCTGCTGGTTAACTCCCCAAATGGCTGCAACAGCCAGAGCTGGACCAGGCTGAAGCCAGGAGCTTCTTCAAGTCTCCCACATGGGTGGCAGGGACCCAAGTACTTGGGCCATCTTCTACTACTTTCCCAGGCGCACCAGCAGGGAACTGGATTGCAAGTGGAGCAGCTGGGACTTGAATTGGCACCCATATGGGGTGCTGGTGCTGCAGGCTGTGGCTTAACCCGCTTATGATAGACTTGGTTTCCATCCACAGTCCCTCCCTCCCCTGTGGGAACCAGGATTGCTCTCCTCTCTGCAGCAAGTCAAAGAAACTCTGGTCATACCCTGGCCTTCTGTCTTGGAGCTGGCCGTAAGGAAATTCCTGGGCCTGTCTTAACTGATTGGTGGACAGAGGACCCCCAGGTCAAGAGAATCTGAACCCACAGGCCTTGCTAGGTTTCTCCACCCAGTCTGCTATGCAGCCTCCCTAAAAACCCAAAAGGACAGGGACTGGAGCACTTCTGAAAAGCTGCATACATGGCGGTGTCTGGAGGGTGACACCTGGGCAGGACAGGTGCCCCTTCCTCCACACCTCGCCTCACATGCCTCGTGTGAAATCCTTTTTACCAAACTGATAAACCCAAGTGTTCACCTGTGTTCTGTGAACTTCCTGAGCAGGAGAGGCATGGTCAGGGCACAGGTAATTGTGTTTGGCATCCCAGCCCGTGGGAGGAGACGCTGTCTCCAGGAGCAGAGTGTCAGCTGGTGTCCACTGCGGGCTGCATTGCCGGCCTGGTGTGTGGGGTCACAGGTGATGTGTCTTCTGAGTGATGTAGGGCAGCATTCTGAGTTCAGGTTGGTTTTCCCTTCTATAACTTCTCCCTGCGCGTACTTCCAGTTTAACCCATCATTCCGTGGTTACTTAGAGTTGGGATGAAGGGAGGCAGTTAGAGAAAAGGCAGCTTGCCTGGGGGTGGGTGTTCCATGCAAGTCTGCTCCCCTGAGCATTGTGGGCAGGAAGAATCTCAGTAAGGCGGGACCTGTTGCCATTGCTGAGAGTGAGGTGTGGCTAGGACTCTAAACTGTCTGATTTTGGTGCAAGGGCAGGCTCTGCCTGGTGCATTTCCCCTGCCGCTGCCGGGTGCCCTCCGCTCGCAGACCCATGCATCTAACCTGCCCGGCCTCAGAGCTGTTGACAAACTTTTCCATTGTCAAACATACATAGCATAAAATTTTTAAAAAGATTTTTTAATTTGAGAGGTAGAGTTACAGACAGACAGAGGGAGCAATAGAGAGCTCTTCCATCTGCTGGTTCACTCCCCAAATGGCCGGAGCTGGGCTGATCAGGAGCCAGGAGCTTCAGCTGGGTCTCTGAAGTGGGTGTAAGGCGCCCAAGCACCTGGGCCATCCTCCACTGCTTTCCCAAGCCACGAGTAGAGAGCTGGATCGGAAGAGGAGTAGCTAGGACTTGAACCAGTGCCCATATGGGAGCAGCGGTGAGCACGTTCATGCTGTCGTGCAGCAGCCACCTCCATCCGTCCCCACACGCGTTTTGTCTTCCCACAGTGAGACTGTACCCAGTTACTCCCCACGTCCCCTCCCTGCAGTCCCTGGCAGCCGCCCCTCTGCTGCTTTCTGTCTCTGACCTTGACTGCTCTAGCAACCACGAATGCTTGAATCATGGAGCATTTGTCTTTTCTGACTTCCATCACTTTGCGAAAAGCCTTCCAGGTCCACCACCCACATTGTAGCATGTGTCCGAGTTCCCGTCTTTTTGAGGACTGAACGATACTCCCTTGCACGTAGAGACCATGCTTTACCGGCCGCTTCATCTGCAGTGGACATCCAGGTTGCTTCCCCCTCTTGACTGCAGCGAATCTTTGAGGTCCTGATTTCAGTTCCTCTGGACACACACCCAGAGGTGGCATTGCTGGATCATGCGGTAATTCTACAGTGCTTGTCGGAAGATGCTCCACGCTGTCCTCCGTAGCAGCTGCACCATCTTACATTGCCACCGGCAGTGCGCAGGGGTTCTGGTTTCTCCACATCCTCACCACGCTTGCTACTTTCTTCTTTTTTTTTAAGATTTATTTATTTACTTGAAAGGCAGAGTTACAGAGAGGCAGAGGCAGAAAGAGAAAAAGATCTTCCATCCACTGGTTCATTCCCCAGATGACCACAACAGCCAGAGCTGATCCAAAGCCGGGAGCCAGGAGCTTCCTCCAGGTCTCCCATGCGGGTGCAGGGGCCCAAGGACCTGGGCCATCTTGTACTGCTTTCCTAGGCCATAGCAGAGAGCTGGATGAGAAGTGGAGCAGCCGGGACTTGAACCAGCGTCCATATGAGATGCCGGCACTGCAGGCAGTGGCTTTACCTGCTAGGCCACAGCATCGGCCCATCTACTTTCTTTTGTTAATAGAGGCCATCCTAATGGATGTGCGATGGTATATCATTGTAGTTTTACATTTCCCTAGTGACTATTGATGCTATCTTTTCATACGCTTTCTGGCCATCTGTATATCTTCTTTAGAGAAATATCTGTTTTCCCATTTTTTTAACTTAGGTTGCATTTTTATTGTTGAGCTTGAGGTGTTCTTTATATATCTGTTAATCCCTTATCAGATCAGAGATGATAGTCTCCCCTTAACTGAACTTTAACTTTCTGTGGTTCCATGTTATAACTGTAGTCTGAAAGTACTAACTGGAAAATTCCAGAAATAAACACTTCATAAGTTGGGGTTTTTTTCTTTGTCTCTCCCTCTCTCTAACTCCAACTTTAAACAGACATCCACTGGTTCACTCCACAGATGGCTGCGACAGCCATGAGCTTCTTCCAGGTCTCCCAATGGGTCCGAGCACTTGGGCCATGTCCTGCTGCTTTTCCCAGGCCATTAGCAGAGAGCTGGATCAGAAGTGAAGCAGCTGGGACATGAACTGGTGCCTATGTGGGATGCCGGCTCTGCAGGCGGCTACTTAACCTGCTACACCACTATGCCGGTCCACACTTCCTAAGTTTTGAATTGCGTGACATTCTGATAAAATCCTGCACCATCCCTTTGTCCCGGGAATCCAGGCTGCAGGCTCTGCCCTCTCCCGGCAGGTCCTGCCCCGGTTGTTAAATCAGCTGTCCTGGTATCACGGTGCTTGTATGTGAGGAACCCTTGCTCTACTCAGCAGTGGCCCTAAAGCACGAGAGTAATGACACAGGCAATTCAGATGGGCCAGAGAGAAGCCACAGAGTGTTTTTTCCTTAACTGGAAAGATCAAAGTGTCCATTTAAGGAAAGAAAAGAAAAATGGTATGCTGAGCTTTCTCTGTGAGATCCACAGTGTTTTGAGAAAGACCACATTCTTGTGGCTTTTGTTACTGTCCGTTGTTGTTTAAGTGTTCCATTTTATTAGTACGGTTAATCTCTTACTGTGACCAATTACATATTAAACTTTACTGTGGGTGTGTCTGGGCAGAAGGAAATGTGGCTCAGTCACGTGTTCTGTATGTGGCAGACTGCGTATCTGATTGTGGAGTAATGAGATTGGATTGCCTCGTGAGGTAGGGACGTCTCAGGCTGTGTTGAGTACACCCTGTGCATACTAGGGCTCAGCGCCACCTGCAGTTCCCTGGCTTACACGTATTTTCTCCCATCCGTAGGCTGCCTTCTTGTTTCATTGATCGTTTCTTGGGCTGTGCGAAGCCTTTTAATTTGATATAATCCCATGGACATCTTTTACTCCTGTCGCCTGTGCTTTCCTTGTTATATGTAAGAAGTCACTGCCAGATTCAACGCCTGGAAGCTTTTTTCCTGGGCTTTCTTGTCGGGATGTTGCAGTCTCGGGGCTTACACGTAGGTCTTCAGTCCACTGAAGCCGCTTGCTGCTGGGTAGCCTTGGCACCCTTGTTGTAGATCACTGACGTACCACACGTTTGAGGGTTTACCACTGGGCTTGGCTCTCTGTTCTGCTCCATTGGCCTATGTGTGCATTTTAGGCCAGTACTGAACCATTTAAAATACTGTAACTTTGCAACATATTTTGGAATTAGGATGTGTGAGGCCTCCCATCTTGTTCTTCTTTATCCACTTGTTTTGGCAGTTCAGGGTTTCTTGAAAACTATTTTAGGATTTTTTTTTTTATATTTCTGGGAAAAAAAAACCTCATTGGCATTTTGATAGGTTTTGCATTGAATGATAGACTTGGTATCATAGTCCTCCGGTGCGTGAACACGAGACCTCTATTTGTGTTGTCTTTAATTTTGTTCATCTGTGTTGTAGTTTTCAGTGTACAAGATTTTCACCTCCCTGGTTAACTGTATTCCTAAGTACTTGATTCTTTTAGATGTTATTCTAAACGAGGTTGTTTTCTTAATTTCCTTTCTGGATTAGTCATTGTCGGCATGGAAACGACCATCCATGTGTGTTGACGCTGCGTCCTGCTGAGTTCTCTGGGTGGAGAGAATCTCTGTGCCCTCTGGAGCACTGTGAGCAGGGGTGAGAGAGCTGCGGGATGAGGCTGTGGGGGCCAGGCATGGGCAGAAAGTCACAGCAGCACCCTGAGAGAGTGCTCCCCAAGTGCTGGGGGGAACCCAGGAGAGACCCAGAGTCAGGCTGGAGGAGGCCTGGGGAGGAAGGCTTGTCCTCGGGTCTGGGTCACCTGCTCACAGCAGATGCTTGGACAGGCGTCCTCTGCCCAGCTGCCTGCCCCAACTTGGGTGGCTGGACTCCTGGGGTGGGGGCAGCCCTCCCCTCAGCCAGGGGCACAGGGGCGCTGCTTGTCTAACCTGAGGGACCAAGGAAGACCTGGGCTGCCCCTGACATCTTCCTCTGGGACCCCTCTCACTCCTGCTCTGCTCTCCCCACCAGCCGTGAGGTTGGCACACAGGCTGCCAGGGACTTGCCCTGCACTTCCCTCCCTAGGCAGTGCAGCCACAGTGTCCTCCGGCCCCATCACTGCCCCTGGTTCCCAGGGGCATGGCCTCCTGCCACACGTCCACAACCCCACATCTGGTGTGAGTTTCCACGGTGAGTGCTCAGAGGCAGTGCTCCTGCGATTGGTGGCCTCCTGTAGCAGATAAGAAGGCTGTTACAGAGCAAGACTAATCAGAAACAGGAGAAATCCCACAACGGGGTCCCCCCCACCCCACGTGCAGCCAGCCAGTCACAGACACTGGGGAGGTACCTATTACAGCGCCAGGGGCTAGGCTTGTCACTTAACTCCCTGGTCCCCAGGGGGCTGGGGTACAGTTCTTAGAGGTTGAAGCTGGGGTTGAGAGGTGCATGTTCGATCATGCCCAAGTCCCTGATTGCTCTGAAGTGTTCGTGGCCCTCCTTCGATTGATCAGGTTGTTCTGTACAGGATTCTGATGATGGCAGAGCCGGCTGCAGTCAGTCTGAGGGCTACATGCAGATGGTGGTTACTTCTTGCTCAGGGCCTGGGGTTCCTGGGAAAAGAAACCCCTCAAGACAAAACCAAACATCAGGACGTGCTCTGCAGGGGAAATAAATGGCCTCAGAGGCCCTCAAGGGCTGGCTGTACCACCACTCCTCAGTCCAGTGAGATAATTGGAGTAAGAGATTGCTCTGCAATCATAAAGCAGGACAAGGAAGCATGAAGCCAAGGGAGGGAGACCGTGGGAGACCAGGACCTGCTGGCGCCTAGCCCTGCATCCCAGGCTTTGCATGGGGGTGGGGCTCACTCGTCCATAGCCACACGCTACCACTGCCGCTGGCAGAGCCCAGTCCCGAATCCTGCTTCCAATAGGCGTGGCTACCATTCCCCATGACTCAGAGAGTGAGGGATGGACCAGGGAGGGCCAGGGGAGCCCTGAGAATCAGGCCTTTCACTTCTCGTCTTTTGAAGCCCCAGGTTCCCACACATTAGTGCCTTGAGCTGGGAGCCACTAATGAAACCTGAACAAACAGCGTTCATTTTGGTGGGTATTGAACCAAAAAATAGTGGCACTGAATTAATGTGTTCTGCTACCCTGGTAGAATTTTTATAGGCTTCCAAAGTACACGGACATTGTTTCCTCGTTGGCACCAGGCAGACGAAATGAGGCGTCTACCATGAACCTTCAAGAAAAACAAGATTTTTTTCACATTTATGCCTGGCTCTCTGTTGCTGGCCAAGGGACAGACAGTGGACCGCCCCAGTGGAAGCAGGGATGTGCACTGGGAGCCTGGGTGTGTCTGCTCCTTTTACACTCGACTGTTTTACCTGAGTAGCAGTTCTGGGAGCTGCCAGCCACTGGGGTCTGTGCCCAGTCCAGCTGACCTCGGGCGGTTCTAGGTCACTCCTTCCAGGATCCCTGCACAGACCAAACGAGGCCTCTGATCCTGGAGAAATGCCGGCTAGTTTCTCACTGAACCTGTGGTCCCTGGGAGGGGCTGGGGAGGGCAGGGCTTCTGATGCACACGGGAACCTCACAGCCTGATCCGGTTTTCCTGTCTCTGCTCACTTTCCTCCAGCAGCTGCAGCACGGCGCCGGGCAGCCTGAGAAATGAGAAAAATACCAAATCATGGGACACTGCGGATGACCAAGGTGATATACCCGCTGGGGCTGTGTGTGGGCCTGTTCATCTACGTTGCCTATGTCAAGTGGCACCGGGCCTCCGCCACCCAGGCCTTCTTCAGCATCTCCGGCATGGCTCTGGGCGCCCAGGGAGGCCCGCAGGCCCATAGCCCCCAGGAGACAGCGCCACGTGGTCTCGAGGTCTTCTACGGGATCATGTTTGACGCAGGCAGCACCGGCACCCGTGTCCACGTCTTCCAGTTTGCACGCCTGCCTGGAGGTATTCTGGCAGAAAGCCCACACGCAGGGTCTGCCATCCCCCCCTTTGAATACCAGTGCTCGTGGGGTCTTCTCCAAAAGACCCTGTGGGCTGAAGCCCCCACCTTGGGCTCCCCTGTCAAAATGCCGTGATTCCCGAAAATGCTGTTAGAATGCAGGCTGAGTCCCAGGCTTCTAAATTCACCAGCAAGTCCCCAGTGGTTCATGGTGACCACCACAGCAGGGCAGCTGAGACCCCTAGAGGCCATCAGGTGGCCTGGCCCTAGCCCTGTGTTTCACCTGCAGGCCAGGTGACCACAACCTTGTCCTGGGTCAGAGGTCACACTGGGAGACTTTAAGGCAAGAGTAACCCAGATTCAGGCCCATTGGGAACCAGGGAGCCAGGCGAGTTGGGTACATGGCAGATCTGGAGCCTGGGCCAAGCTGGAGTTGCTGCAGGAGGCCCAGACAGCCCGGGGGTGACAGACAAGGGCCTCGGTACTGAGAAGGAGGCCACAACCTGAGTCCCGACAGCTGTGTTCCCAGGTGGGCCAAGGCCAGCAGATGGGGGTGTGGGACTCTGGCCGCTGCCTGCCCTGCTCTCCTCCTGCCCTTCTGTCTTTCGAGCTGGGCCTTTGGTTTCATCCCCTGCCGCCTCTCTTGCACCTGCAGACTTCGCCTCTGCCCCCCTTGCTGTGTCCCTCCAGTGGCAGTCAGCAGCCTTCCCAGCCCTCTTGCCGGCAGGTGCCCTGGTCACATGTCCGGGCGTCCACCTCGCTGGTCCTTGGTGACCTTTTTTTTTTTTAATATTTGAGATGTAGAGTTACAGATAGTAAGAGAGAGAAAGAGAGAGGTCTTCCTTCTGCTGTTTCACTCCCCAAACTGCATCGGCCGGAGCTGCACCAATCTGAAGCCAGGAGCCAGGAGCTTCTTCCGGGTAGGGGCCCAAGCACTTGGGCCATCCTCCACTGCTTTCCCAGGCCACAGCAGAGAGCTGGATTGGAAGAGGAGCAACCAGGACTAGAACTGGCACCCATATGGGATGCCAGAGCCACAGAGGATTAACCTACTGTGCCACAGGGCAGGCCCGGATAGTGACCTTTTAAGTGGACTCTGTTCTAGAATTTCACTGCTCTGGTGGCTCTGGACACTCTCCAAGGCTATTGTGGCTTGCTTTACATATTCTGACATCATCTGCTTTATTTTTAACTTGTTACAACAGTTAAATCTTTAGGTACTAGATCTGCTTACTTCCAAAAATGGTTTTGGAGTGAAATTTAACTCAGCCCATACCAGCATGTGCCCCTTCGACATCCATGTCTCAGCATTTCATCTTTGGATGAGAAAAAAAATCCTTGGGAAAAGTTTTCCCCTTGTTTTTTCCTGGCCCAGGGTTCCTCCCTTAGCCATGGTGCTGTGAACACCTCCTTGCTGTACATGCAGGAGTGCAACCTGCTCCTGATTATTTAGCCAGTCACTGTTATTTTTCAGATTCATTTTATTTGAAAGGTAGAGTTACAGGGAGAGGGATAGGGGGAGGGGGGGGTCTTCCATCAGCTGGTTCACTCCTAAAATGGCCACAAGAGCTAGGACTGGGCCAGGCAGAAGCCAGGAGCTTCACCCAGGTCTCCTACGTGGGTGCAGGGACTCAAGGACTTCGTCCATCTTCTTCTGGCCTTCCCAGTTGCATTAGCAGGGAGCAGGATTGGAAATGGAGCAGCTGGGGCTCAAACCGGTGCCCATATTGGATGATGGCGTTGCAGGGAACAACTTAACTTGCTGCACCACACAACACCAACCCCAGCCATTCAGTATTTTAAAATTAAGAAAAATCTCCAGATCTTTACTGTAAAACATCCATCCCTGAGTCTAAGAAATAGTTTCCATATTTGCAGTTTTGAATTCTTTTCTGCTGTTTGTTAAATCAGTAAGAAGGTACTTTGTTGAAATTTAACACTTTAAAAGATGTCGTTTTTTGTATATAAATTATTCTCAATAAAGTCAATTTAAAAAAAGTCAGGGCCAACATTTAGCCCATTGGTTAAGAGGCTAATTAAGGGGCTAGCGCTATGGCATAGTGGGTTAAGCCACCGCCTTCGATGCTGGCATACCATATAGGCATCGATTCAAGTCCCAGCTGCTCCACTTCTGACCCAGCGCCCTAATAACAACCTGGGAAAGCAGCAGAAGATGGTCCAAGTGTTTGGGTCCCTGCCACCCACATGGGAGACCTAGATGGAGTTCCTGGCTTCAGCCTGGCCCAGCGCTGGCCGTTGCCGCCATTTGGTGAATGAACCAGCGGATGGAAGATCTCTCTGTATGGATGAAAAATTTCTCCCTCTCTCTGTAACTACGACTTCCAAATAAATACATCTTTAAAAAGACGCTGATGGAAACGTCCACATCCCTCACTGGAGTGCCTGAGCACAGCTCCCTTCTCCTGGCTCCAGCTTCCTGTAGGGCAACAGTGGTGACTCAAGTACTTGGGTCCCTGCCACCCATGTGGGAGACCTGGATTCCACTCTCTGTTCCCGGCTTCACCCTAAGTCTAGCCCTGATTTCAGGAATTTGGAGAGTGAACCAGTGGATGGGTGCTCTCTTTCTCTGCCCTTTCTCATCCTCTCAAATACATACATAAAATCTAAAAAAAAAAAATCTGTCCCAAATACTAAATCTCACACTCCTCTTGTTCAGCTGAATGCAAGAAGCAGAATGTAGGCCACAATAACTGCCCCTGTGGGGTTGGTCCGTGTCATCAGACCCCTGCTTTAAAAAATGTGGCACAGGTGTGTGTGTTGTACGTTCGCAGGTGTATTCATAGCTGTTCCTTCTTTTGAACATGTCTTCCCCCTAGAAACTCCCACCTTGACCCACGAAACCTTCAAAGCACTGAAGCCAGGTCTTTCTGCTTACGCTGATGACGTGGAAAAGGTAACGAGCTCCCCACCTCCGTCTGCTCGTCGGATTTGTCTTGTAGCCATACCATGTGCAAAAGTTGGTCCTCTCCTTTATGAACAGGGTGGGCACGGTCATGGAGGAGGGCATCCCTGCTGGTGCTGCCTGAGGCGTTCCGTGCCATTCTGGATGGGCAGGGAGAGAGAAGCATGCAGCTCTTAACCCCAAGGAGGTGCCCCCCACCCCCGCTCACAGGCTCAGGCCCGTCCCCAAGCCTAGGTGCAGCTCAGAAGCACAAATGCTGCAAACAGGAAAAGCTTACTTGCACATTTGAATATTTAAATGTTTGACACTAATTTAGCTTCGTGAGTTTTGCACAAGACCTGTACGTGTCCTGTGTTTTTCAGTTGCTTTGATGGAAGCTAGCAAACAGTGATGAGAAAAAAAATCACATTGAAAATGTGTTATGCAAAATCCACAGAACCAAATAAATATAAAAGAAATTGGTTTAAACTATAAATCATGATTTCTGTAAGTTTTTAGCTGTGAAACTTCAGACACCTGTAAAGCTCACAGCTGCCAAACACCTGCTTTTCCAAACACTCACTGGCTGTTAGTTCAGTCCTGAGTCCCTGGGGCTTCAAGCCTGCCTTTTGTTTAAGATCCGTTTCTTTTATTTCAAAGGCAGAGCAACAGAGAGGGGAAGAGAGAGAGAGGGCAATCTTTCGTCCACTGTTCGTTCACTTAATGTCCTCAACAGCCTGGGCTGAGCCAGAACGAAGCCAGGAGGCTAGAACTCCATCCGAGTCTCCCACGTGGGTAGCAGGTGCCTGGATCTTTGGGCCATCTTTTGCTTCTGTCCCAGGCACATTAGCAGGGCAGCTCAGGACTTAAACTGGCGCTCCTATGTGGGATTCCAGCTTCACAGGCAGTGCTTTAACCCACTGCACCCCAATGCTGGCACACACACCCCGAAGCACTTCTTAAGTCATGTTCTTGAGCATATTGTGGTCTCAGACAGTAGAGAGTGTCCCCCCCCCCCCTTCTTTGTAGGGATACATTGCAAGACTGCCAGGAATGCCTCGGATAGCACCAAACCCTGTCACTTAGCGCCTTTCCCGTCATAACCAAGCCCTTGCCTCATGCTGTGGCCATAACTCTTGCAGGTTGAGGTGCAGCAGCAAAACCAGCCACAAGTTCTTTTTCTGTCTTTACCATTTCACAGTTAGAAAAAAAAATTTTTTTTTGACAGGCAGAGTGGACAGAGAGAGAGAGAGAGAAAGGTCTTCCTTTGCCATTGGTTCACCCTCCAATGGCCACCGCGGCTGGCGCACCACTCTGATCCGATGGCGGGAGCCAGGTGCTTCTCCTGGTCTCCCATGAGGTGCAGGGCCCAAGCACTTGGGCCATCCTCCACTGCACTCCCGGGCCACAGCAGAGAGCTGGCCTGGAAGAGGGGCGACCGGGACTGGAACCTGGTGTGCCGGCGCCACTAGGTGGAGGATTAGCCTGTTGAGCCGCGGCGCCGGCCCGAAAATTCTTTAAAAGATGTGTTTTTATTTATTTGAAAAGCAGAGTTACAGAAAGGGGAGGCAGAGAGATACCTTCCATCCACTGGTTCACTCCCCAAATGGCCACAGCAGCTGGAGCTGGGCCAGGCCGAAGCCAGGAGCCAGGAACTGCATCTGCCACGCGGTGGTAAGGGCGCATGACTTGGGCTGTCCTGCTGTCACAGCGGTAGGCAGCCGAATCAGAAGTGGGATGCTGGTGTCACAGGCAGTGGCTTGACCTGCTGTGCCACAGCGCCAGCCCCAGAAAATTAATTCTTACCATGGATCTTAGAAACCTCAGTATGGGATTATTTTTTTATTCTGTCATGCTGAAAACTCAGCATTTCACTTAAAAGGAAGCACTTCACAGCTTCTCATCAGCGTACGCAAACTGCCTGCCTGATGTTTCACTGCTCCAGTGCTTTGTGGCCAGCATTAAGAAGGGTTGCCCGCACACGAGCACTGCGGAACCAGGACAGCAGTCCGGCAGCTGACCCTGCCACTCAGTCAGCAACTCGGAGGCCAACAGTGTGGGCACACTGCACAGGGGAACACCCACGCCCCTCACAGGCTGCAGCAGGGCAGCATGAGCCCTCACCACCCCACTCAGAACGGCACGCAGTATAAAACTTAGGGATGGTCTGTTTCTAGAGTTTTCCCCTTCAGGTAACTGATACCCCAGATAAGGGAGACTACTGTAGTTTCAGACTTGTTTCTTGGTAGCTTAGTTAAAAAAACAAATGGAGGGGCAGGCGTCATGGTGAAGTGGGTTAAGCTGCTGCTTGGGACGACATCCTATGTGGGAGTGCTGATTCAAGTCCTGGCACCTCTTCCTCCGATCCAGCTTCTTGCTAATGCATCCTAGGCTCAAGTGCTTGGACTCCTGCCACTCATGGGGCAGACCCACATGGAGTTCTAGGCTGCTGGCTCCAGCCTGGCCCAGACCTGGCTGTTGTCTATTTGGGGGTGAGCCAGTGGAGGGAAAATCAATCTCAGTCTCTCTTCCCTCTCCCTCTCTCCTCCTTTTCTCTGTCTGGGTCTCTTTCTCTCTGTTGGTCTGCTTTTCAGGTAGATGAAAGTAAATGTTTAAAATGTGGGGGCTGGCATTGTGGCATAGAAGGTTAAGCTACAGTCTGCAGTGCTGGCATCCATTATAGGCACTGGTTCAAGTCCTGGCTGCTCCTCTTCTGATCTACCTCCCTGCTGATGTACCTGGGAAAGCAGTGGAAGATGGTCCAAGTGCTTGGGCCTCCGAATCCACATGGGAGACCCAGATGGAGTTCCAGGCTCCTGGCTTCGGCCTGGCCCAGTCCCACCATTGCAGCCTTTTGGGGAGTGAACTAACAGATGGAAGAATGACACCTCTCTGTCTGTCTCTCTTTGACTCTGCCTTTCAAATAAAATTTTGTTGAAGCTTTGCATTCAGTGATACTAGAGTGGCCATAAGAGTAGACCTGATTAAATATCTTGAAAATGAACTCCTAGGGCCTTCAAGCCTCACTGGTCGGGGAGATAACAAACGTCCAGGGGAATAAAGGACAAGCCACCCAGGGCAGTGTGGAGGGCTCCCCCCACTCCAGGCTGCCCCCAGGAGGGCTGTGTCCCCCACTTTGTCATGCTCATTCACATGTCTGTGAGTAAGTGCCTCCGTGTTATTCTGCATGCACATGCAGATGGAGTGGTGCCATCTGTCACCTCGTCACCCACACAGGCCAGGGCCTTGCTCCCCAGTGGATTCTCAGAACAGGATTTCTGGGTGGAAGGAATTGGGTCTCTGCCTTGGGCAGCAGTTCCCTTGTGGTACACTGTACTGGTCGACAGTACCCAGCCTCACTTTCCCAGGTTGCTTCCTGCCTTCTTCCTGCACTGACAGCCCCATCCAGCCTTGGGACCTGGAGCACCCTAGAAGGTACCCTGAGGTTCATGAGATTCAGGATCTAGACCCAGCTGGTTTCCACATCCTCGCATCCTGGGAACCTGTGCCGGGGGTGACAGGGCTGGACATGGGTGCTGCATGCAGTTGAACAGCCTCTTGTGGCCCTGAGCCATCTCCTCTGTGACCGCCTGGTCCCTGTGTCCCCACATCCCCACCACTCGCATCCCTGTTTCCTGCCGACGTGGCACATTAGGAAACGGACACTGTTCAGCAGACCGAAAGGGGAGGGGTAGCATTGTGACCCCGTGCGCTGGGTTCCGCGTGCCCACTTTGCTCCCACGATGTCTGCAGAGTGCTCAGGGAATCCAGGAGCTGCTGGATGTTGCCAAGCAGGACATCCCATTTGACTTCTGGAAGGCCACCCCACTGGTGCTCAAGGCTACCGCTGGCCTGCGCCTGCTGCCAGGAGCAAAAGCCCAGAAGCTGCTGCAGAAGGTGAGCTGGGCCTGAGGTGGCCAATGGCGAGTGCAAGCCCTGGCTCCGTGGCCAGGCCGGAGCAGGCAGGCGGGATACTTGGGGGTTCCTGGAGGGTGGCCCCACTCTGGGAATGTTGTCAGCATCCCCTGCAGGTAGCAGGGCAGTAGGATGAATAACACTTCCTTCTGGTGACATTTAAGGCTTTTTGTGTTTCTGGGAACAAATCTGTGCTTTATAACAAGAAAAACAACTGTATTTTAAAGTGTGCCGTTCTTTCCAACACTCTCCCTGCACCCAGAGGGCTGTGTGATCAGCACTCCTGTTGGTCAGCCCAGCCCACCCTGCATGTTCTCCACCAGCTCTGCTCATGGTGCTATCCCTCCTCTCTTCTGGCCCCAGTGTCTGCGGGGCCTGCGTGTTCCCAGCTGCCCACCCTCTGCCTCAGGGCTGGCAAGGAGTCCTCCCGACTGAGCAAAGTGGCCCTCTCTGTTCCCAAACTACTCACACCCACCAGTGTCCCCTGCGGTGGGACTGTGGGGCCCAGGTGTGGTCGGGTGTCCAGAGGGACTGGGAGTGACTCCCATCAGGCATGCAGGTGGTCCCCAGGTCTTACCTTGCAGGGCCACCTGCTCCTTCATCCAACATCATGAATCAGGGTGGCATCTTGAGACCCGGCAGGCCCGAGTGTGTCCCCCAGAGCTCTTCCAGCTTAGTGTGGCTTAAGACGGGGTCTCCAGGGGAACCTGAGCCTCAGCTGGCCCTGAGAGATAACTGGGGAACCCCCTGCAGGGTTCGGAGAAGCTTATCACAGAGCCAAGGCTTTGGTGCTGTGGACACATCTGAATCCCTGCAGGTGGCGGGCAGGGATCCACCTGCTGAGGACATGGTGTGCCTGGCATTCTGACGGCTGAAGACTGTCTCTCCTTTCAGGTGGAAGAGGTGTTCAAGGCGTCGCCTTTCCTGGTGGGAGATGACTGTGTCTCTATCATGAACGGGACAGACGAAGGTAACGTGGCCAGCCGAGCTTCTGCTGTGTGCTGTGGGGTTGCTCCTGTGCAGGTACCCTCCCCGTGGCCAGAGCCAGGCAGGCACGATGGCCCCAGTTACCTTCCCCCACCTCCCATTTGCCGTCTGAGCATCAAAGGGTCTGCTGGGGGCCAGCTACAGAGCTGGCACAGAAGTCGCCCCTGGAAACACCACGTTCTGGGCTTGGAGAACGTTTGGAGAGCATCCCGGCAGCCACCGCGTTAGAACAGTGGACTTGCATCTGTAATGGACAGAAAGAAAAGCTTCCCCTGGCCCGGCGTTAAACGCACAACAGAGAGTTGCTGTGGGAGGAAGGAACCTTGAGTCCTTTTTCTGCCTCCAAAACAGGAAGCTAGTGGTGAAGAATCAGAGATGTGGCACTTGGGAAAGAAGAGTTAGAGTGGCATCTTCTAGAACAATCCCTCAGGAGCCTCTGGATTAGTCTGTGAACAATGCCCCTCTCTGTAGGGGTCTGAAGGCTGAGGGTGGTGAGGAGGTCGTCACTCTGCTCTGTGTGTGGTGGTGATGGCGTCTCCGGTGCTTACAGCACTGTCTGTGGCACTCTCCTGCAGGTGTTTCGGCGTGGATCACTGTCAACTTCCTGACAGGTGCGTGTCCCTTGGATCACAGAGGCTGACAGGTCAGAGCTGCCTGCCAAGGAGGGCTGGGCAGGGCTTTCTGGAGAGCAGGGGCCCCTGTCTACCCTTTATGGTAACTCCTTGGGACTTCGTGGTGTTGCTGACCCCAAGCAGGGTGCTGGGGACAGGTGGAGGTGTCCGCCTGGCTCGGGCAGCTGCAGACTGGCCGGTGTGCATGTGCTAGGAAGGGCTCGTCCCTGGCTGCTGTGCTTCCAGCCCTGCCCCTGCCTGCCTCCTGCAGAGCCCCTGCCTTCTGGGCAAGGCAACGAAGGAAACCAGTCTCATCTTCGACTGTTAGGTGGAACATGGCTGCTGATCACCTCACAGTGGAATTCCTCTGCTGTAGGTACAGCAGGGAGTTGGGAACACCTGTTCCTGAAAACCAGAGTCATTTTTCTTGGATTGTTCTCAGTGCATATGGATTTTTATCCCTTTGCTGGAATTGTGGGAAGGTGCAGTATGTCTGATAAGTCTACGAAAAAGACATTTCCTGGCAGGAGGTGCCCCCTTTTGAGTGGTGGTGGGGGTCTCCGCGTCTAGCACTTTGGGGAACAGAGATGGAGATGGAGCTGGTGGGGTTGAGGGGGTCCCCGCGTAGGAACATCAAAGTCTGTCTCTGTGGAGAGCCCAGTGGGTGTGGCAGATCTGTCACTATCTGGCAGCTGGTCGAGCTGTTGGTCTTGCCCCTAACCACCTTTACATGGGAATGTCCACTGCAACTTCTCTGCCTCACTTATCTCCACTAAGGCTCTGGCTTTTAGGCTCTGTCTAATGCTGCCCCTGTTCTCCGCCTGCTGCCAATAACTGCTGTTTTTTTGCCACCCTGCAGGCAGTCTGAAGACCCCGGGCAGGAGCAGCGTGGGCATGCTGGATTTGGGCGGAGGGTCTACTCAGATCACCTTCCTGCCCAGTGTGGAGGTACACAGCCCCTGCCCTCCTCCAGGGCCCACCCATCCCACAGGAGGAGCAGAGTAGGGTAGGGGTGCAATGGAGGGTGGTAACTGTGGCCAGGCCAGGGTCCCGCGTGCCCCTGAGCCCTGGGGGGCTGTGCCTTCATTGAGAAGCCCCTTGTTCAGATTTCAGCCCTCCCTACAAAACATAAACAGAACTCTGGTCTTCAGCGGGGTGATGAATTAGTAACCGGGACCCTCTGGGCTGGGGACAGTGAAGTGGATGACTCCTCCCCGCCGCGGGATTCTGAAAGGGGCAGGAGCAGACAGCATGTGGTCTGAAGCCCCTGGCCAAGTGGCCGAGTAGATGCCCTAAAGGACACGAAGGTGCTTCCACCTAAGGCCAGCAAGTGCTTCAGCCCCTCCCCGCTCCCCCGTTGACTCCTGCCCCACTGCATTGAGCCGTCAGTGAGTCAGGCTGAGGGCTGTCTTGGGTAGTGCAGCGTGACTCCTGAGGAGGAAACGAACCTTTTCCTTTTCACCCTGGTTGCTCTGTTTTGTCATTGCCCACTCCGCTTTCTTTCACAAACTTGGGGTGTCCCTGATGACGTCTGCCTAGCCCCATCCTTCCAAAGGAATTGAGGGAGTAGGGAATGGTATTGTGGAGCAGGCAGCAGGAAACAAACCCCTCCCTCCTAGGGCACTCTGCAGAGCTCCCCTCCTGGCCACCTGACCGCCCTGCAGATGTTCAACAGGACCTACAGGCTCTACTCCTACAGGTTGGTGTCAGGGCCGGGGGGGCAGCCAACTGTCGGCCCTGCACCCCCACCTCAGAGGGACCAGATCGCAGCCTAAGTTTCACCTGGGTCTTCCTGCCCCTTCTCCTCCCTTCACCTGCCTCCTTCATTTTTTAAAGATTTATTATTTTTTATTTATTTGAAAGGTGGAGTTAGAGAAAAAGGAATGGGGAGAGAAATATATCTTTCATCCACTGATTCACCCTGCAAATGGCTGCAGTGGCCAGGGCTGGGCCAGGCCAAAGCCAGAAGCCAAGAGCTTCATCCAGGTCTCCCAAATGGGTGCAGGGGCCCAAGCACTTGGGCCATCTTCTGCTTTCCTAGGCACATTAGCAGGGAGCTGGATTGGAAATGGAGCAGCCGGGTCTCGAATCAGCGCTCATATGGGATGCTGGCATCACAGACAGAGGCTTAACTTTCTATGCCGCAGTGCCGGCATTTTATAATTTATCTACATTTTATAATTTTCATTTTATAATTTATCTATAGTAAAGTCCTTTTGTGCTTGTTTTCTTCTGCTTTGGAAAAGCTTTGCGAAAAAGCAGGAGGAATTTCCTGGGCCACTGGTCCACCGTGTAGTGTCTCCAGTAGGTTCTCTTTGCAAAACACAAGCCCTTCATAAGCACTGTCGTGGCCATCTGCCTTACACCGTATCCACAGCTCCCAGTGAGCTACTGCCGTGTGAGCCACCCCTGCTAATTAGCCAAGTACTCAAACTCCACAAGAGGCTTCTATAAGAAGCCAAGAAGTATGCTAATCGCCTCCCATGGACGCCACCCTTGCCGCTTGGTGTCTGGCCCTAGTGGGGGTGGATATGCAGCCCCCAGCCTCACCCCGGCATTGTCTCCACAGCTACCTAGGGCTTGGACTCATGTCGGCACGGCTGGCGATCTTGGGCGGCGTGGAAGGGGAGCCTGGTAAGTGGTGCTTCAGGCCGCAGCCTTGGCAGGAGGCTGGAGCCTCCAGGAGGGCAGCAGCTGCATCCTGGGAGAGATTGCCCGTGATGGCTGCTTGCCGCCCAGGCTGCTGCTAGCCAAGAATAATGTGCCCCAGGCTGTGTTGGTGGCACCTGACAGGGACACAGGCAAGTGGGCTTCACTTGTGCATGTTCTAGGTTGTGTTTTTAAAGAGATGCAAGTGACAGTATTTCTGAAACTGAGCTGAAGGTGGCCTTACATGTCTGTCACCTACATTCTTAATTGCTGTGTTTTTAGGGATTTGAAGCCAGAACCTTGATCTTAGGTGGAACAGAAGGGCCCAATGGAGGTGGTGCTGGGGCTGTTGCATGGGTGTTGGGAGAGTTTCTCTCCTTGCTGTGATTCCAGCCTTGGAGGACGTTCTTCGGCATCTTCTGCTTTATGAAGGACCCTACAAAACCAGCTCAGCCCTCCCTTCCAGACGTGGTGGCCGAGGACAGAGCCTGTGTCAGGGTCATAGGAAGGTGCTTCTCATCCAGGCCTTCCCGCTCCCTGTGAGCCTTGTGGCCGTGCTCTGAGACTCAGGGATCCCCCTGTGGCTCCTCTCGGGCCCTGCACTGAGGCTGGTGTCAGCCTGGCATCCCACCCAGTGCTGACAGGGCCCCAAAGGCCTTACCCAGGGCCCGGCACCACCCGCGCATGTGCCCCACGCCCCCAGCCCCAGGCTCACGTGTCCTCCACCCACCTGCCCTCTGCCCCTCAGTCTGGCTCCTCTAAGTAGGCGTGTTCCCCTGGAGCTTCATGCACACATCCTATTTCATTTCTTCCTTTCCAATCCTAGCGCTGCTCCTCGTACTGGTGGTATTCGTTGTGTTGCAAAGGAAAACCTTGTCCACACTCCGGCCCCAGCATCTACCCCAGGCTCCAGCACACCCCCCGGCTGTGCTGACGTGCCCTTCTTTTTCAGCTAAGGATGGAGAGGAATTGCTCAGTCCCTGTCTGCCACCCAACTTCAGAGGGGAGTGGGAGCACGCTGAGATCACCTACCGGATTGCGGGCCAGGAGGCAGGTGCGTGGCTTTGCTGCTGCTCGGTGGCTTCTGAGGGTCAGAACAGCAGCTGCCCCTGCCCCCTGGACCTTTCCCAGACACCTCTGAGAAGTGCGGTGGGTGGGGTGCTCCAGACAAGCCCAGCCTTGCCTGGGAAACGCGGGCGGCTCTGAGAAACCTCCAGAGGCCTTTGCCAGTGCTTGCCTGCAGCCACGCACAAGGCTCGCTTGTCTGTGTCCAGACGCCTGCCTGGGCTGGGCCCTGTCTCCCACAGGGCTCCAGTGAGCAGGGCCTGAGACAAAGGGCTGTGCCTGGCTTGGCAGCTCCACTGAGCCTGTTTGTGAGCAGAGGAACCCTGGGGCTATGGGCCTCCCACAGCTCCCTGGGTGGCCTTTGTTGCCTGCCCTTCCATTTCTTCTTGTCCTCAGGCTGGACAGCCAGGCGTGAGGGGTCTTCCTTTGGTGACCTGGTTGGTGTCCTACCTGGCAGTGGGCTGGACAACACGGCACAGCTCCTGTCCCTCTGGGAGGAGACAGTAAAACACAGGGAACAAGCCTGGAGGGGATTGCAGTTTTGTCGAGGGAGGTCTGTGGGGTGGCGTCTGAGTAGAGACGTGAACAGGCCGGAATGAGCGGCTCAGACCTGAGATGGGGCTCCCCCAGGGCAGAGGAGCGGCACGTGCTGAGGCCCCTCAGTTACTGCCGTGTGTACCGAGCGGCGGGAAAGAGGAACTGTGCTCTGGGCCACAGGGAATACTGATGGTCGGGGACTCTGTGGAGCAGGTCTGCATGGGGTCTCGGGGTGTCTGTTGGACGTCCACAGCCATCCCTTACCCTCTGAGGCCTCGTGTCACCCACGCCTGTCCCACTGCACAGCGTGGAAGGTGGCCCAGCAGGCTCCGTGTGACACTGGGAGGAGGTAGCCAGTGAGGCACGGCTGAGGGCAGAGCCGAGTGTGGTAACGTTACCCACGGCCTGGTCGAAAGGCTGCTCAGTATTGGCGGGCGGTGGCCTCCCTGGCACCGGTGTTCTCGCGGCTTCTCTCCCTGCTGCTCCTCCAGGACTACTGGGGCTGGGGGAGGTGAACAGCCCCTGGCCCCGGGTGGGGTCTTCTGGTCCGACCTCTTCCTGCTGCACGGTGCTATGGCCCGCCAGCCCCCAGTGTTGGGTTCCCCCCGCAGCAAGCCTGTACGAGACGTGTGCCCGCAGAGTGGCCGGAGTCCTGCGGGACAGGGTGCACCACACCGAGGAGGTAAAGCGCGTGGAGTTCTACGCCTTCTCCTACTACTACGACCTCGCAGCCAGTGTCGGCCTCATCGGTAAGGGGGGCGCTGGTGGGCTTCTGGGATGGTGGGAGTGGACCTGGTCTTGTCCCTAGAACAGGAAGTCATAAACCCTGGCTACCTGTGTGACTGCTGGGAGGCGGGGCTGGCCCTGAGCTGACTCATGCTGTTTGTCTGGCTCCCTGTGCAGTGTCCCCTCAGGCTACTCCCTGGGGGGTGGGGAGGGGGGATCTGAGCCATGTCCCAGGGGAGGTGGGTGTCACTCCGACCCTGCCCCCAGCCCAGCGAGCCAGGGCAGAGCAGGCGTGACGAGGCGTGGCATTGAGTTGGCTGTGGCTGGCAGCTGCACCGTGTGGAGACTCTTGAGAGGGCTGTGAGGCACATTGGTGGGCAGAGACAGGAAGTTTTCTTAGTGAAATCAATCTGAGACTATGTAAACGCACTCCTGTGGGTGGGATCGTGATGCTGGCATCCGGACAAAAGAAACCAGACGTCAGTTCTGGCTGCCCACAATCTCCATGCTGCCCTTGCTGCCCCGACTGGGCTGAGTGCAGAGGTGGGCCAGTGAGCAGGAAGGCACCCCCTCTCCCTTGGACGGCTTGACCTGCCAGCCTGGGACGCCCTGCCAGCTCTCTGGGCTGGATCAGGGGCGCTGTGTCCGGCCCTCCCCCAACAGTGCAGTAGCTGGGCAGTGCCCACACCTCGGGCTGACTCTGAGCCACCCAGGCCACTCAGCTGACACCCAGTGACACTCCCTCTACATGGCTCCAGGGTGGCTGCCCCTCTGAGACCCAGCAATATTTTGTTTTGTTTTATTTTAAGATGTATTTATTTATTTGAAAGGCAGAGTTAGGAGGAGGGGAGAGAGGGAGACAGGCAGAAAGATCTTCCAAATGACTGCAGTGACCGAGGCTGGGCCAGGCTGAAGTCAGGAACCTGGAACTCCATCCATGTCTTCCATGGGTGGCAGGGGCCCAAACACTTGGGCTGTGATCTGCTGCCTTCCCAGGTGCACCAGCAAGGAGCTGGGTCAGAAGTGGAGCAGCCAGGACTCAAACCAGCACTCATGTGGGACACTGGTACAGCGGGCAGCAGCTTCACCTCTTGTACCGCAATGCCAGCCTCATTTCCTCACTTTTTAAAAAAGATTTATTTATGTGAAAGGCAGAGAGAGAGAGAGAAATTGATCCCATCTGCTGGTTCACTCCACAAATACCCACAACAGCCAGGGCTGGACCTGAGCCAGGGGCCAGGGACTCCATCCGGGTCTCCTATGTGGGTGGCAGGGACCCAGGTGCCTGGGCCATCATGTGCTGGAGCATGAGCAGGAAGGTGCCTTGTCCAGGCCTCGCACCTCCCACCCAGGCCATCACACACCTGCATGGCGCCCCCGCAGCCCGCGTGTCGGTCTCGTCCCCCAGATGCTGAGAAAGGAGGCAGCCTCGTGGTGGGAGACTTTGAGACTGCAGCCAAGTACGGTGAGTGACTCCGCACTTCTGCTTCCCAGAATGCCAGGACGAGGGGTAGAGAGGCAGAAACTGAGTGCTGGACAGACTTCATATGGTCCATGATCCTGCCAAGCAGCCAAGCGTTCAGGGCTGCCAGCACACACGGATGGCTGTGCAGGGCCGGCCCTCCTGACAGTGGGTGTGGCAGGGCCTCTGGTGTCCCCAGCTGTGAAAGGACCATGGTCCCGGTTCTTTCCCTGTAGGGCTGTGGCGAACCGGTTCCCTCGGTTCGATTTTTTTCTGACACCTGTTCCCTGCTGCTTGGTGACAGTGATTTCCCTGGGCTGTCCCAGCCGATCCTTGATCTTCACCTGGCTCTGAACGAGCCCCGGGGCCCTGCACAGCAGAGTGAAGGCATCGGGTTGCAGGACCAGGCCCTGCTTGCCCTCCCCCACTGCGTCCCAGCTTCCAGAGAATATTTGCGAAGCCTTAATGTCCATACTCTGCCCTTTGGATTGTGGTTCCCAATTTGCAGGGCAGAATAGCGAAGCCAGGTACATTCTCCATATTAAGTCCTTCTCCCATGCCCCAAGATTAGCCTTTGTTTTTAAGCTGGCATGTCCCATGGATGCTGGGCATTGTGACTCTTCAGCAGGGCAAGACTCTGTGGGACCCCAGGAAAGCCTGGGGGGATTTGTCCGACTCCCTGGGAGCAGGAGTAGGTTGTTCTGGGTTTGACATCTGGGAGGTGGTGGTCTTTGTGACCCCAAGACAAAGCGTGCAGGTCCCTGTTGGTCCTGGGGGTGCCCTGGGCACAGAGCTAGTTTGAGCTGTCCATCAGAAGCAAGGAAGGGCCCGTTGAGACTCCCTAGTGGGTGCAGTGGGGTGGGGTGGGGGGTCTGCACACAGCCACCCTGTGTGATGGGAAGCTGCCGTGCCCTGCAGTGTGCCGGACCCTGGAGACGCAGCCACACAGCAGCCCCTTCGTGTGCATGGACCTCACCTACATCAGCTTGCTGCTGCAGGAGTTCGGCTTTCCCAGGAACAAAGTGCTGAAGGTGAGGACTCGACCCGCCCCATAGCGGGTGAGGGCCTGGCTGCCTGGAAGTCACTGCCCAGCCCGTGCTGTCTGTTGGGTGTGTGACGGCCCCGCCCCCTCCAGTCGGCCACCCAACCTTGCTGTCCTGGGTGTGTGATGGGCCCCTGCCACCCCCGCTCTGTCTTTTCAAGCTGACTCGGAAGATCGACAACGTGGAGACCAGCTGGGCCCTGGGGGCCATTTTCCATTACATCGACTCCCTGAACAGACAGAGGAGTCCCGCCTCATAGCAGCTGAGCCTCCTGGCCCGCCCCCAGCCAGCATTCCCAGCACCTGTCCGAGGTCCCCTGCCCTCCTGGAGGTGATTTCATCCTTGAGGAATCATAGCTCGGGCCACAGCCCCTCCTCCCTGCAGCCCTGGGCAGCCTCGGGACTCTGAGGGCCTGGCACCAGCAAGGCCCACACCAGCTGGCCTTGTGTGGAAGCCGGGGCCAGGGCTGGAACCCAGGCCCTGCTGGAGCCTCCCTCCTGCCTCGGCTCCAGGAGGTTGGTGAGCCCAAGGAGGCAGAGGGTGTGCACTGAGGCAGGAGATGCAGCCTGTGTTCATCTTGTGTCCCGGCCCCTGCTGTTTCCTCCCCAGAACAGAAGTGGGGAGTTGTCAGGGCCAGTGTGGTGCCCATGGGCATGGTGGGGCCTGGGCTTGAGGCAGGTCCTGCTTGCTCTGGAGGGAGCTGGGTGGTGGCGGTGCCAGGAAGTCCCCCAGAGGTGCAAACCCTCGGATAGTTTGGGGTTAAGTGGTGGAGCGGACTCTGAGCTGCTGTAAACGCACCCGCTGCTGTGCAGCTGGGGTGCGGGGTGTCTGTGTGGGAACTGTCTGAGCCCCTTTCCTGCACACCAACCCTGTCCTGGTGAATGTGTTGCTGCCGTGAGCCATTGGCAGCCAGCAGGGACAGGCCCGGGCCACGACCGCCAGAACCACAGCATCTCGGGCCACTATCCAGCCTTTGTGGGCAGTGTGAGCTCGGACGTGGTGTGGGTCCCTGTGCCTGTCTCCTGCTGTCCCCTCAGTGACTGTACAATGCACAAAATAAGCTGAATCTCATGAGTCTGCTCAAAATAAAAGGTTTACAAGGTCTGTCCTGTGCAGTCCTCTTGGCATCAGCAGCCGTCAGCCCCGCTGGCGCTTCAAAAGGAACCACCCAGGAAGGCGGCATGGGGGTGGCGTGTAGCTTTACCCCTCTTGCCAGGGAGCTACCTGGAGGCCCCAGCTGTTGAGGGCCTGGGCACGTCACCAGCTCCACTCGCGTGTGCTCAGCAGGGATCACCTCCTGGAGCCGGGGGAATCCAGAAGCACCTTTGCTGGCGTCTGAGCAGCTCTGTCTGCAGGGCAATCAGAAGAGGGAGGAAGCCTCCGAGCAGAGGTGGCCAGTGCGACCCCCTTCTCCAGGGGCAGGAGGGAGACCCTGAACCCAATGGGAGCCAGCTGCTCTCCCCAAAACTCCTTGGGGGAGGGGTCAGGAAAGCAGGAAGGAGCCCCCCCAATCAGAAGGTGTACTGGGGGGGACGCATCTGAGGCAGGGGAATGCCGTCCTTGGCACACGGCACTGCTGCGCCCTTCCTGCCCTAACGGCTAACAGTCTAAATGGCAAAAGAGCTCCGGAGGCAGAGTGAAAGGTGCATTAGGGCGAAGCAGACATCGATTGGGGCCATTTAAAGAAGGTGGTGATCTCACATCTGGAAGAGCGTCTGCGACTGGAAGTTCCCCAGAGGAGCACCAAATAAGTCCTGGAATATTTCTGGGCGCAGCAAATATGCAAGTCATTTTGCTCTGAGCGTCTTCCTCGATAATAAAGCAGGCGCTTGTTTTTTAAAAATAGCTGCAAATGCAGCTGTACAAGAGGCAGACTATGGGGGGAGGGGGAGCGAGAGATTTGTTCCCTCCCTGGAGATGTGTGCCCCACACCACACCTACAGCATCAATGTAGACACCCACACCTTCAACAGTGTAGACACCTACGACAGCATCCACACCTACAACAGTATAGACACCTGCAACAGTGTAGATGTCCTCACCTACAATAGCATCTACACTTAGAACAGTGTAGACATCCTCACCTGAAACAGCATCTACCTTAGAACAATGGTATAGACATCCACACCTACAATAGTGTAGACACCTACAGCATTGTAGACATCCTCACAACAGGAATATAGACATCCACACCTACAACATCTACAACTGTGGTGTAGACACCCACACCTAGAACAGCAGTGTAGACATCCTCACCTACTACAGCATCCACACCTAGAACAGTGGTGTAGATGTCCTCACCTACAACATTCACACCTGGAGCAGCAGTGTAGACATCCATTTGCTATGCTGCCTGTGTCTTGGAGTGGCTGGTGGTGTCCCATGTCAGGGTGACAGAACTCCATGATACTAGGTTGTTTACAGTCCCACACTGGAACGCACAAGCCATCCTGACATTGCCGAATCAAGGCATAAGCATTCTAAGTGGTGGTGGGCGTTGCCAGCCTGGCCTCATTGCCACTGTCTTCCCTGCAGCCTCAGCACAGAACCAGCCCTCTGGTTTGATCTTTGCTGTCCTGGCAGGGAAAAAAATGGTGATAGGTAGTTCTATTTTTTTTAAATATTTATTTTATTTGAAAGGCAGATTCATTCCCCAAATGCCTGAAACAGCCATGTCTGGGTCAGGCTGAAGCCAGGAGCTCAATCCAGATCTCCCACATGGGTGGCAGGAAACCAGGTACTTGAACCATCACGTGCTGCACCCCCAGGAGCCAGAGTCAGAAGTAGAGGCAGGACTGGAACCAGGCTTTCCAACATGGAATGCCCACATCCCAGATGGTGTCTCCACCACTGCACCAGACACCTGCCCCAGCTGGTAGTTTTATTTTACACTGACCTAATTTGTTTTGGGTATCTAACAACCAGTTGTATTTCCTTTCTGGTGAAGCATCTGTTCACAACCCTCGCCAGTTTTCCTGTAACACTGCAGTCCTTGGGCAGGCACTGTGGCACTGTGGGTTAAGCCACGGCTTGGGATGCCCATGTTTTGTATCAGAGTGCCTGGTTTGAGTACTGGCTACTTCACTTCCGACCCAGCTTCCTGTTGATGTGACTGTGGGAGGCAGCAGACGATGACTCAAATGGTTGAGTCCCTGCCACCATCATGGTAGACCCAGATGGAGTTCTGAACTCCTGACTTCAGCCTGGCCCAGTGCTGGCTGTTGTAGGCATTTGTGAATGAGCAAATGGAAGATCCTCCCTCCTCTCTTTTTCTTGCTCTCATTCTGCCTTTAAAATAAAGAATAAACTTTTTTAAAGAAGTTAATCAATGGCACCAGCGTTGTGGGCCCTGGGTTAAGCCAACCTTTGACACCAGCATCCCATATCTTCGATGGTTCGAGTCCTGACTGCTCCACTTCTGATCCAGCTGCCTGCTGCTGCAGTTGGGAAGGCAGCTGGTGATGGGGTACTTGTGCCCCTGCCACCCATGTGCCAGGTGGAGTTCTTGGCACCTGAACCAGCTCCAGCCATTGAGGACATTTGGTGAATGAACCAGTAGAAGATTCTCTCTCTCTCCCTCTCCCTTCCCCCTCCCCCTTTCAAATAAATACATTTTTTTACGTTAACCAACTAGGTGTTCTGTGGTTTTAGTTTTTGCATTAAAGACTCCCAGTGTGTGCTCCTGAACATCCCCAGGCACAGCAAACCATGGTTTCAGGATGAGTTTATTTCTTGAACTGTTTGGGAGTGACTGGAAGTACCACCATGGCAACACCATTTTTGGATAAAAATCTGTATGACTGTAGAGCAGGAGATAGTTCCCAAAGGAGACTTTCAGAAACAGGAAGAGAGAATCCTAGCAGTGTCAATAGCAGAGCCACAGAATCCCTAGGCAAATTCTTTGAGGAAACCACACTTGGGCATGCCAGGCCCCGGTGGAGCCGTCCTAACATGCCTTGTTTGGAGCCTGTGAAATGTGAGGAATGTCTGAAGCGGCTGAGTCTTCATCCACGAAGAGAGGCTTGCAGGTGGGTGGAAGCTGGACAGGTCCTCCCTCTGGTCTCAAGGGTTGTGGGACATTGGCCCCGACTGTCTCCCCAGAGGCCAGAGCTCAGCCACGGGTGGGAGGTCCAGGGGAGCTATACTGACAATGAAAGTTGTCCTGGGGTCTTCGCTGAGATGTGTCCCTCCCCTTGTCAGCCTCTAGGGACACTCAAGAAGGGAGGCTGCCTTGGGCCGGGGCTCAGAATCAGGTCCTTCCAGGTTCTCGGAGTCAACTAGAAGAATCTCTTGATGGCCGACACCGCAGCTCACTAGGCTAATCCTCCACCTAGCGGCGCCGGCACACCAGGTTCTAGTCCCGGTCGCCCCTCTTCCAGGCCAGCTCTCTGCTGTGGCCAGGGAGTGCAGTGGAGGATGGCCCAAGTGCTTGGGCCCTGCACCCGCATGGGAGACCAGGAAAAGCACCTGGCTCCTGCCTTCGGATCAGTGTGGTGCGCCGGCCACAGCTTGCCAGCCGTGGCGGCCATTGGAGGGTGAACCAACGGCAAAAGGAAGACCTTTCTTTCTGTCTCTCACTATCTACTCTGCCTGTCAAAAAAAGAAAAGATCTCTTGAAACTTGTGGATACTTGGGACACTAGGGTAAGCCACTGCCTATGGTGCCAGCATCCCATAGCAGAGCACTGGTTCAAGTCCCTGCTGCTCCACTTCTGATCCAGCGCCCTGCTGATGTGCCTGGGAAGGCAGCAGAGGATGGCTCAAGAGCATGGGCCTTCTCCTGTTGGGAGACCCGGCTGGAGTTCCAGGCTCCTGGCTTGTTGCAGAGTGAACCAATGGATGGAAGATCTGTCTCGTCTCTTCCTTCCCTCCCTCCCTCTCTGTAACTCTGCCTTTCAAATAAGTTAATTTAAAAAAATAACTGAACAGGTGTCTGGGTTCTTTTAGAGCTGCTCTACCAGAATCCCTGAAACTGGGTAGTTTACACTGAACGTGAACTTGTTAGCTCTGGCAGTTCTGGAGGATGGGAGGTCTGTGGTCATGGCAGTGGCATCAAGCCTTTGTGCTGCGTCATCCCGTGGCAGAAGGTACAAGGGCAAGTGAGGGCTGAGTGCCTGTTTCTGTAACGGCCTCCTCTGGAGATAACAGCACTAGCTGATCCGTGGGAGGCAGAGAGCTCTTGATGACCCAGTCTCCTCTCATCAGGCCCCTCCCAGCACTGTCACAGTGGGACTCGAGTTCGCCATGCACAGCAGTGGCTAAGCACGCTCAGTGGCTTGCCTTTACTGAGTGCTCGCCAGGACTCCAGCGTGGTGCTGGCGGACCAAGGTAGGTGCACGCACCCAAGATGCTGGGCCTGCAGGAGCTCCAGGAGCTGCCCAGTCCTGGGACCCGAGGCTGCCTGAACCACAGCCTGTGAGCCGCCTGGCCTCCCAGGCGCAGGTGTCTCCAGAGGCACCTCAGGGCGGCTTTCCCACGACTCAGCAAGCAATGCTGGGTGACAGGTAGGAAAGCAGTTAGCCACTCAAGTGACCCCTGGCCTGCCTCCAGACCTGCTGCCCCGTCATCATGTGGACGGCCTCTGATTCTCCCTGCTCTTCTGTTACTGAGCTGGCCAGTAAAGGGTTCCACTTCAGAGTTCAAGTGCAGCCTTATAAATCTTGGTGTCTGCCCCTTGGTTTGCACAGCTGAGAGGCAGACATCCCCTACAAGACGCCTGTCTCGAGAAGCCTCTCTCCAAAAATCACAAGAGCCCCAGAGCCGGGTTTCTATGGCACAGAACACAGAGCGGGGGTGGCTGCCAACGGAGCTGCCAGGAGCTCCGTGGTTCCTCCAAGCCCACTGGGAAGAATGGCAGAGAACCAAACAGTTTTACAAACACGGCCACCAACGCTCAAAGGCCTGCGAGGACTTGCTGTAAAGCAACAGGGAGAGGTGAGAATTTGAACAAGGGCTTGCAGCTTTATGTGGAATGAGATGTCCTAGGGTTTTTTTTCAAATTGATTGATTTGAAAGGCAGCATTACAGAGAGAGAGGGAGAGAGAGTCAGAGCGATATCTTCCATCTGCTTATTCACTCCCCCAAATGGCCACAATGGCTGGGGCT